AGATGTAGATTGCACAGTAGTAAGTGTGGATGTACTGAACAGGGAGTAAGTTTAGATCTATGAAGAGTGGGGGGGGGGGGTGTTGCCAGGGATGGGATTTAGTGATTATTCTTAATGCAGCTTTTTGTTGAGTTATTATTGGCTTTAGGTGTATTGCTGCAGTTGAACCCCAAGCACGAATAGCATAGGTGAGGTATGGATAAATGAGTGAATGGTATAGTGTGAGAAGGGCATTTTTTGGCACGTAGTATATCTTGGAGAGGATCCCATCTGTTTTGGATACTTTTTTTGATGTGTGTTGGATATGGGTGCTGAAATTCAGGTTGTTGTTGAGTATAGGCCTAGGAATTTGCCCTCATTATGTCTGGCAATTAGAGTGCTGTCAATCTTAAGGTTTAGTTTTGCAGCACCTGCTCTGCTACCAAACATAATATAGTAGGTTTTGTCTGTGTTAAGTGTAAGTTTATTGGCTGTCATCCAAGTTGATATTTTGAGCAGCTCCTCATTAACAATGGTGTTGAGGGTGGCAAGATTAGGGCGAGAGATGACACAAGTCATGTCGTCAGCAAAGAGAATGGGTTTCAGGAGTTGGGATACGTTTGGAAGATCACTGATGTAATTAAGGAAGAGCAGGGGTCCAAGGACACTTCCCTGTGGAACTCCAGTATCAAGTGGCCGTGTTGATGATGCTGTGTCTTTAATGGTGACATACTGATATCTATTAGTAAGGTAGGATTTGAAATATGCAAGCGCATGGCCTCTTATACCATAATGGTCAAGTTTGTGGAGTAGGATGCCGTGGTCTACTGTGTCAAAAGCTTTTCTTAGGTCAATAAAAATTCCTAGCGGATATTCCTTATTTTCCAATGCTGTGTAAAGCAGATCTAGCATTTTTACAACTGCATCATTAGTGCTTTTATTTTTCCTGAAACCAAATTGGCAGGGGTTAAGTATGTTTTGTGCCATTATAAATGAATACAGTCTCCTGTGCACAAGTTTCTCGAAGATTTTGGATAGCAATTGTAAGTTTGATATTGGCCTATAGTTGTTTACATCTGTAGGGTCACCACCTTTATGTATTGGTGTAACTCTTGCTGTCTTGAGTAGTTTCGGGAAGGTGCTAGTTTCTAGTGACTTGTCAAAAAGTAATGAAATAGCATGCGAGAAGACATGGGCTGCTCGCTTGTACAATAATGGTGGGATGCGAGACAGGTTCCCCCGAGTTATTTTTAAGTGACTATACAATCTCAGTGACTTCGGTGGGCTCAGTTGGTACAAGATAGAAGGAATTTGGGAAATTCTCATCTAGATAGTCCCCGGCATGGGCGTTGGTACATGGGATTTTACTGGCAAGATTAGATCCTATGGTTGAGAAGAAGTCGTTTATCTTATTAGCTGTTTCAGTGGGATGCAGTGGTGTTTCGTTAGGTTAGTTAGGTTTAGTTCAGTTTGGAATCACCACCCAGTCAAGCACACCAACAAATTAGAGAAAGTGCAAAGGTTTGCAACAAGACTAGTTCCAGAGCTAAGGGGAGTGTCCTACAAAGAAAGGTTAAGGGAAATCTGCCTGACAACACTGGAGGACAGGAGGGTTTGGAGGAGACATGATAATGACATATAAAATACTGCAAGGAATTGACAAGGTGGACAAAGACAGGATGCTCCAGAGATGGGACAAAAACAAGGGGTTACAATTGGAAGTTAAAGACTCTTATGAGTTAAAGGGATGTTAGGAAGTATTTCTTCAGCCATAGAGGTATCAGAAGTGGAACAGCCTAGAAAGTGACATAGTGGAGGCAGGAACTATACATAATTTTAAGACAAGGTTTGATAAAGGTCATGGACAGGGGAGAGAGGACCTAGTAGCAATCAGTGAAGAGGTGGGGCCAGGAACTATGAATCAACCCCTACAACCACAAATAGGTGAGTGTACACACGCACACACACTCACACGCACACACGCACACACGCACACACGCACACGCGCACACGCACACACGCACACACGCACGCACGCACGCGCGCACACGCACGCACACGCACACACACACACACATGCACACACGCACACACGCACACACTCGGGGCCAAGAGTTATGAATCGACCCCTGCAACCACAATTAGGCAAGTACACACACACACACAAATACTTTCAAATTCATATAAAAGCCTGATAACATGTTTTACATTACAGTGGAACCTCAAAAATCGAACTTAATCCGTTCCAGGAGCTAGTTCTAAATTTGAAAAGTCTGAAATTCGAAGCAATATTTCCCATAAGAAATAATGGAAATACAATTAATCCGTTCCAGAAACCCAAAAATATTCACACAAAAAATACATTTTATAGAGATTAATTACAGTTTTACAAACAACAAATACTATAGTTTTTAATTATGTATAGTAATACATATAAAATAACATTTTACTTACCTTTATTGAAGATTGGTGATGGCATCTGGAAGATAGGGAGGAGGAGAGAGGGAGTTGGGGTTAGTGTTTGGAAGGAGAATCCCCCTCCATGAGGACTTCAGGTAAAGCCCTCTCTGGGGTTACTTCCCTTCTCTGTCTTTTAATGCCACTAGGACCAGCTTGAGAGTCACTGGACCCCTGTCTCACAAAATAACTGTCCACAGTCCTCTGTTTCTGGCGCCTCTTTAACATTTCCCTAAAATGGGACATGGTTCTGTCACTGAACTTGTTGCAAGGATGGCTTGTTTCAGCTTGCTCAGGGTGGTACTTCTGCACAAACATTTGGACATCATTCCACTTGGCACAACTCTCCTTAATCTTTGAAGGCGGCACCTCATCCACTCCCTATATTAACACCTTTCGCAACATCAGCTTCCTTGATTTGTTCTTTCTTTGACAGGATAGAACTGATGGTCGACATGTTTTTCCCATACATCCTGGCAAGTTCAACAAGTCTCACACCACTCTCATACTTCTGTATTATTTCCTTCTTCACATCTATGGTGTTTCTCACTTTCTTTACCACAGGGGTACCCACTAGCAAGTTTCTTTGGGCCCATGGCAGCTTATTTCACAGTCCCACAAGCACTAAACACAACAAAATAATCGTAAAATGTGTGAATGAGAGCGCAGGTTAGTGTTCACTCAAGCATAAACAAAGCTAGACTGCTCACGGCACCTGCGCAGGGACACGGACAGAGCGGGCGGCAGACAGGTCCCGTACCCGGCGGTCCGAAAATAGGGGAGCATTCAATAATAGGGACAGTTTGTCCGAAAAAATGGTCCTATTTTCGAAACGTTCGATATGTGATACGTTCGATCATTGAGGTTCCACTGTATCATATATTGAGCAACAAAGCAAGGCCTAAAAGATGCATATACAGTAGGATACAGGGGAATATGTTCCAAGGACCTGCCGTGGATACCGAAACCACGGATATATAAGTCCTAAAGTTTAACTGATAAATTATGCACAGTAAGTGTTGAATTATCACATTTTCACTGACAGGAAAAACTTCCCAGCTTCTCTTAAGCTTTAAAGAACTGCCAGCATCTCCATCACTGTCTTGCCAGAGGCAAGACAGTGATGGAGTGAATGATGGTGAAAGTTTTTCTTTTTCGGAACACACTACCTTGGTGGTAAATGGCCTATGTGTTAATAAAAAAAAATATTTTGGGGCACAGTCAACAATGGATAACAAACACAGATACCAAATCAGTGGATACGGGGGTTCAACTGTACACATTATTTACTTTCAAATATTTTCACCCTTAGCTTATAATGAGTGGTGAATATATTTATTGTAGGAAGTCTGAATAAAGGAAGAACGTGGGTATAATTGAAAACCCGCTGCATTAGCAAAACGCTGTAAAGTGGATCCCTAGTATATGTGCTTTAGAAAGTGAAAACAGACTGTTTCACTTTACAGTGATTTTGGATTTACAGCAGTAGCCCAGAACTTAACCTGCTGTATAAGCAGCTCCCTCCTGTATTAGGCACACAATACCAGAGTGCTGTTTTAGCTACTTTTTTAACATTATTCTGATTTAATGGACACTCAGACAACCTTCCATATTGGTTATATCAAGGATTTATTGTAACTAGACCTTGCAAAACACCTCATTGTTAATGATAAGATATCTGAAATCTTGAGGTTGTATCCACTTTTTGCATCGACTAGATGAATGAACTGTCTTCATGGAGACTGCTGTGTACATTAACTATACAAAGTAACTGTAAAAGACAAAATAACTAATATTGCTTTCTAGCAATGTAACAAAGGTCAGTGAGGTCTGACAAAGAACCACTGAGACTTCTGTAATCCCTTTTTTTTTTTTTTTTTTTTTTTTTTTTTACTACTGTTCGCAGGATGAGCACAAGGTGCACAATAAACTAGCTGCTCATGCAGTACAACTATAACTAGACCTTGCAACCACAATGTATCTAGCAACTCAGCTCAAATCTGTCATTCCTTGTGCTGGATACTATAAAGTTGAGACACTGAATGATCTCAAGACATGAATTCTAGAATACAAATAAATTTGTAGAAAAGACACCAACAATGTTTGTGTGTAATACAGTGCAGAGGATCAAGACCGTACACATGGCTTGGGACAGCTAAACTCAGGCTACACAATAATGATAGGGTCAGAAAAAAGATACAGCAGCCAGCTTAATCAAGATTTCTATTCTTTTACACAGATCAATATTACAGACTAAGAGCTGTTATCCCACCTCAGCTCATTTCAAAGCCCAGCTCTATCTACAGCGTACTACCCCCAAGATGAGACCCACAACAGTCGACTAACACCCAGGTACTTACTGCTCAGTGAACAGGGGCAGGAGGTGTAAGGAAACATGCCCAGCATTTCCACCCATGCCAGGGACTGAACCATAGACCCTCAGTATGTATACTAAGGGCACAACCAACCAAGCCACAAAACACCTGTTATAATACTATACAGTAAAACCAGGTGCTTTCATGCTCACAAAACCTCTGACCCAGAAAATATTATACAGTACTTACCGAACTCAGCAATACAGGCAGACACGCCCCCGTAGATGAAAGGGCGCCAATCGCTCCGGCCCATCCCACGTTCGCAGCGCCTGCAAGTTCAAATCGCAGGTAAATGAGTACAGCAGTACATAACAGTACATAAAAACTATAATGGAAAGTTCAGGAATATAAATGCGGGTGCAAGATTATTCATAAAAGAGATATAGAATATAATAATATGATAATATCAATAAAAAAAATTAAAAATACCTGGCAAGTAAAAGTCCTTAAGGAGGCTCGCAACAAAAAAAAATTTTAGTAACGTATATTTTTTACCTGTATGCCCCTTGGACCAATTTTTATTAACATTATACAGGCAGCCCTAGGTTTAGAAGGTATGTTCCTGGCTCATAGTGCATAATAATAATAATACCTTTATTTACTACAAGTACATGTACAAGGTATACAGACCATAGCTGACATCAATGACATACTACTATACAGAAAGTCCCTTGTTATGCTGAGCATTTTGAGCAAATAAGGTCAGTTTTGTCCCAGGATGTGACCCACACCAGTCCACTAACACCCAGGATGTGACCCACACCAGTCCACTAACACCTGGTATGTGACCCACACCAGTCCACTAACATCCATTTTAAACTGATGGGTGAACAGGGACAACAGGTGTCATGAAAACAAAAGTGAACTTGCATAAAGCAAGCCTAATATGACATATAACATACAAAGATTCATTTTGAGATGTAGCATTTCCATACTTCTTGACTAATGTTTACTAAAAAAAATGAGTTTACCACATATGCACAAAATTGTCATAAAAAAAGTGAAATAAAAAATTCAGTAATTTTATTTCCAGAAAGTACAGAACACAATACATGTACGTCAAAAGTTTTATACTTAGTGGGAAGCCCCTGGTCATGCAGAACATTTTGGTCAGTCTTAAATAACTGTATCTTAATAATAGTAGACAATATGTAATTAAATTTATACCTAACAAACTTTTTAACATTGTACTGTACATAACAAACTTTATAAAATTTGTAATATGTATTTAATACAGAATTGGAATGAAACTGGCCATAAGAAATAAATATATTGGTGACAGTACGTGAATAAGTACGAATGCTAATTTGATCTAAATAAACAGGAACCAGGTTTGTAGATAAATGGTTCAGAGAACTGACAAGTTGATTAATTAGAAACATGTACAACACTTGGGTATCTTTATTGAGGAAATGTTTTGCCACAAAGTGGCTTCATCAGTCCTATACAAAAAGAACAGTGAAGATCAGAAAGAGTTTGAGGTAATCAGTCCCTCAGCCTGGAGTCGATGTACAGTGGAACCTTGGTTTCTGTATGTCCTGGTTTTCGTAGGATTCGTCAAAATTTTGTCCCAGTTTTCATACAGCCACTCGGTTTTCGTAGAGTTGACAATGGTCCACCATACCAAGTGCATCTGCCTGCCCGCACCCACACAAAGCATCCCATGCATTCTGACTCAGTCTGGCTTTGTTTCTCACTGAGTGAGCATTGTGAAAATGTGCCTTCTTCAGTGATTAAGGACATGTGTGCAAAGTGGAATGAACTGCAAAGTTTGGTAGAGAAATATCACCCTAACGAAGCTGTTGCAAGCCATGTCTGCAACATGTTCAATGACAATGCCTTGTCCCATTTTAGGCAAATCTTAAGAGGCCAAAAGCAGACCTCTCTGGACAAATTTTTTGTGCGACAGGGGTCCAGTGACTCAAGCTCGTCCTAGTGCCAGTAAAAGACAAAGGGAAGTAACCCAAGATAGGGCCTCGATACCTGAAGTCCTCATGGAGGGGGATTCAGCTACCAAACAATAACCTTTCCTCCTCCCTCTCCCCTCCTCGCCGTCTTCCATACGCCAACAAGAGTCTTCAATAAAGGTAAAAGTGATGTTAAATGTTCATTTATCCATTTCATTAGTCATTTATATTTATCATTTTTTCTATATAAAACCAGTTATTCTCCATAAAATGTATTTTTTTTTAATATGTTTGGGTGTCTGGGACGGATTAATTGGATTTACATTATTTCTTATGTGAAATATTGCTTCAGTTTTTGTACAATTCGATTTTCGTCAGACTTTCTGGAACGAATTAATCACAAAAACCAAGGTTCCACTGTAATCAGTCCATCAATCTTGAAAAGAATGCAGCATATGTGCAAAGTGAATTATATACATACTGTAGACAGCTGAGGTGAAGCAGTCCTAAGTGTTATCACAGTAGACAAAGTCACATGTGAAAGTTAGGCAAGTCACAGACCGGGCCGCGGGGGCGTTGACCCCCGAAACTCTCTCCAGGTCTCCAGGTAAGTCAAGTCTTCACTTGCTTAACCTATAGGCATACGACTTAGTCCACTGTGATAATACCTACGACTGCCTCACCTCACCCATCTACAGTATATAAGCCACTTCTTCATGCACATGCTCTCTTCTTTTCAAGGTTGATGGACTGATTATATTGACTCCAGGCCGAGGGACTGATTACCTCAAACTACTACTGATTTTCACCATTTTCTGTATAGGACTTATGAAACCACTGTGTGGCAAAAACGTTTCCTCAATAAAGTTACCCAAGTGTTGCACATGTGTAATTCAGGAAACAGGTTGCAATTGATAAAGTGAACATTTACATTTTTAAACTACCATGCAAAACTTACATCAGATTTAACAGGTGCTTTTTAACAATATTTTTTTAAGCAGTTGGCAGATAGGAAACTTGGCATATTCTAGCAAAGAGTTCCCTACATTAGGGATTTTTATTTGCATGTAGATTCTGAACAGGGTAAATCAAGATATGATATATCAAAGGGATACTCATTTCTTGTATTTTGTCTGTGTTTTGTTACAGCTCTCCAAGAACAGTTGTGTATTCATAAAACATGACTCTTCCTGGTATGAATGTTTTATATGTTGAGTAAATTTAGACTTCCGAATAGTGGGAAGGGGGATGATGTCTGGGACCTGACTAAGTGATTATTACAAAATCTGATTTTTGTTGAGTGACTATGGGTTTTAGGTGTCTTGCTGTTGTAGATCCCTGTAAATATTTAGATACCATACTATACCATAAGTAATAGTAGTAGTAGTGAGTAATGTTTGTAGTACATAGTGGTGTATTGTTGAAAGAATGCCCACAATTTTGAAAATTAACTTAAATATTAGTTTGATGCAAGTGCTGAATTTTAGACAGATGCTGAGGTGCATATCTAAGACTGTTTCGTCATCATCATTTTTCTGTGTGTATTATTTAGCTTTATGTTCAATTCATCCTTGCGGATGAGCAAGGAGTTTTAGAGTGGGTAGGGGATGTGTAGATCAAGTGTTTACATTGAAGCATATATGTGAACAGTATTTAGATAAAGGTAGGGAAGTTTTTATTGCATTTATGGATTTAGAAAAGGCATATGATAGAATGGATAGGGGAGCAATGTGGCAGATGTTGCAAGTATATAGAATAGGTGGTAAGTTACTAAATGCTGTAAAGAGTTTTTATGAGGGTGTGTAGAAGAGAGGGAGACTACTTCCCAGTAAAAGTAGGTCTTAGACAGGGATGTGTAACGTCACCATGGCTGTTTAATATATTTATAGATGAGGTTGTAAAAAAAGTAAATGCTAGGGTGTTGGAGAGGGTGGATT